ATAGAATATTCTTTTAAATATCTTAATTAATTGACACATTATTTAATTTAAAAAATGAGTCTAATTTTTAAATTTTTATAACAATGTTCTTTTTTTAATAATATGTTATATTTTTTAAAGTTCTTTTTCTTTCTTCTCTTTTTGGGTGTCCACATCTTTTTTTTCTTTTCCCCTCTTTTCTTCTCTAGTCAAAATGTTAGAACTTCTTTATTCTATGCATTTAAGTATGATTGTAACATGAATTTAATACGTTTGCAATTTATACCCCTCCATCTCTCTGAAAATAAATTTATTTATATTTTAAACAGTGTGTGAACAATATACAAATTGTGATTAGTTTAAATTAATGAATCATATATCTAAAAAGTATACTAACCACATCCAAAATGATAGATTTCACTGTTTTCATGGGATTGACTCCCCTTTATATTCCTCTTTGCTCTATTTCTTAACCCCCATCTCGAGCTCACAATGATAATATGAATAGTTCATTTTATAAATATCATAGTGAAGACCATTTGTACAAAAAATCGATGAATAGATAAATAAATCACATTTAATTTTATAAATGAACTGTCCAAGTTTAAATTCATAATTTATGTTCATTTTAAAAAACAAAAAACAATTTGTTCATGTGATGATGTTCGATGAAATTGATTGTTTATGCAACTCATTTTTATTACTGGACTTATAAGATGAATAATTCGAATTATCATTATAAACTCAAGATGTGACCCACAAAATAAAATATAAACAATTATAGAAAATAGTGATACTTAAAGAATCATTCTTTATTAGAAAAACAAGGAAATCATACTTATGGTCTCACAAAAATTGTGTGTGTTCATAACGACAATAAATATGAACCATTGATTATTATTTCAAAATAAATTTGGAAGTCACTATTTTCATTTCACTTTATTTCAAATACACTTCCTTATTTGTTCCAAATACATTAATACCCTTGAGATTTCAGTTTTTTCAAATAGCGTATTTTGTGTAAAAAGATATGAGAAAATTATTTATAAGTCCTATTTGGAAGACTTATTTAATGTGAAGTCCTATGAATATTTTTTTAGAGTTTGAAATCCTATTTAAATATGAATATGTTCCATAAGGTCCTATGAATTGTAAATGAATGATATCAGTGTACTATTATACTCCTAATTTGTTTTCATATTGTACCTTATTTTCTCATTTATCATATCACGTTTGAGAAAGTTTTTAACAAAGACAAGTCTACAAACAATGACTGTCCGAGTTTTTTGCCTTGATCATAGAATTCCAGTGCATTTTCAAAATGTTGTTTAAATAGATGTGGATATGGTCGATGATATGATGAAGTTTGAGGATTGTATGTTGGTTCCTTCGACAAATTTCGACTCCAATCGGTTAAGGGAAAATGTTTTGTTGTTGTTGTTGTTGTTGAAGTGTGTTGTTGTTTATTGAAGTGTGGATTGTTCATCTTTAATAGAACATTGACAATCTATTACACTCATTAATAAACACACTTTGACCCACTCCGACGATCAAGTCAGTATATCTCTCAAAGATAATCAAGTGCTAAACTCACAAGCTTGAGTATAAAACTGCGTACCTTAGACCTACGGGGGTGCCTCTCTTTTATAGTTTACTCAATCCAAGTCCCACTAGAAGCCTGACTTCTATGGACTCAGGATTACTGTTAATCTTGGACTCCCAATAAGATTAGGATAAACTCTCTAAGAGTCTTATCTTAATACAAACTGAAGTCTTCTCTCATTCTAGGATTCTTGTCCCTTATCCATTTATCTCGGATTCCGATATCTTCGGAGATAATCTCGGCCTTGCCGAGAACACCTCGGTGTCACAACCAACACACGTGGCACCTCGGCTGACACGTCGGCGTCACCTTGCCACGTATTGGTACTCAGAAAATATATCTCCACAGAAGTCACTATTTTCATTTCACTTTATTTCAAATACACTTCCTTATTTGTTCCAAATACATTAATACCCTTGAGATTTTAGTTTTTTCAAATAGTGTATTTTGTGTAAAAAGATATGGGAAAATTATTTATAAGTCCTATTTGGAAGACATATTTAATGTGAAGTCCTATGAATATTCTTTTAGAGTTTGAAATCCTAGTTAAATATGAATATGTTCCATAAGGTCCTATGAGTTGTAAATAAATGATATTAGTGTACTATTATACTCCTAATTTGCTTTCATATTGTACCTTATTTTCTCATTTGTCATATCACGTTTGAGAAAGTTTTTAGCAAAGACAAGTCTACAAACAATGACTGTGCGAGTTTTTTTCACCTTGATCATAGGATTCCAGTGCATTTTCAAAATGTTGTTTAAATAGATGTGGATATGGTCGATGATATGATGAAGTTTGAGGGTTGTATGTTGGTTCCTTCGACAAGTTTCGACTCCAATCGGTTAAGGGAAAAGGTTTTGTTGTTGTTGTTGTTGTTGTTGTTGAAGTGTGTTGTTGTTTATTGAAGTGTGGATTGTTCATCTTTAATAGGGCATTGACAATCTATTACACTCATTAATAAACACACTTTGACCAATGTTTTAATTGAATGTGTGTATTTGACATTGTGATGGTTGACGCGTTTTGATATCTTCAATGTATGAGATGGTGTGTATGGGTTCAAAGGTTGGGTTAGGGGTATTTGGTTTTGGTTGTTAATTAGATGTTGAATTTGAACCATGTCATAGGATAACAATTGTACATTAGAACCTGGATGATCGTGCTATGATATATGTTACATTTAGTGTGTAATGTTAATCCACATGTACTATGTAGTAGATGACATTTGTGTGCTTGTTTGATTGTATATGTGTTTGAATATGTATCGTGTCTTTGTTGTAATCAGTGTTTATATACATATCACAGTACGTTGCGCAAAATTATTGGGGATTTAGGTTTGTGATTGAATATGGATTGAATCCCATCGCTTGATGTTGAAGTTATGCTGGGTTAGGGGTGCCGGTGGTTCAATATATAGGTTGGGTTGGGATGTTACATGTTACATTTATGAGGTTACATTATTCATAATTCAGTGGTGGAATATTAGAATGTCACATTGGATTTGGAACGAGAAGCACATAAGAATGTCACGGTGGGCTTGGAATGTTACATGTTACATTTACGTTTGGTTTGGGATGAAAAACATATGAGAATGTCATGGTGGATTTGAGAATGTCACATTAGATTTGAGATATTACATGTTACATGTTACATTTTTGTTTTGAATTTTAAATTTCTAACTATATAAATATGATCACAATATATGGTAACATTAGATTTCTCATATATGATATTACCATTAATCAAGTTATTTTGAATTTCAAAAGCATATGAGAATGTCACGTTGGATTTGGAAATGTCACATTAAATTTGGGATGTTATATGTTACATTTACGTTTTGAATTTTAAATTTTCAACCATACAGATATGATCACAATCTATGGAAATATTAGATTTCCTATATATGGTATTGTCATTAATTAGGCTATTTTGAATTTTAAATTTCTAACCATATAGATATCACAATCTATGGTAACATTGAATTTTCCATATATGGTATTATTATTAATCAGATTATTAATTAATTAAGATTGGAGGTAGATGTGTCGAGTTATGCTAAAGACCCCAAACAAATTATCAAATTTTCTATCAAACTTTTCACATGGGTGTGGAACCCACACACATGTGATTTGTGTGGGTCCCACACTCATGTGAGAGGTTTGGTAGAAATTTTAATAATTTATTTGAGGTCCATAGCATTTTCTAGATGTGTCCACAAGAAAATCACAGAACTTATAGAGTTATAAGTTTTTTTATAGAATCATATCTTGTATAAGTCTTTCAAATAAGATTTATAAATAATTTACTCAAAAGATATTAGTATAATTATATATAATAAAAAAAATAAAAATAAAAAAACAAAGTAGAATAAGAATAAAAGCACTCATAAATTTTGAGTAAAATTTATATGTTTGTTGCTCTTATCTTTCATACTTTAACATATTCACATACCTTCAATTGATGCACCTACCGCGCACACATATAAGCCAGGTGGATAAATAAAAAAGGCTCCTCGACATAGCCACATCTTGTACTTCCAATATCCAACTGCACCAACCAGTAACATGGTTTACAAGTTTTTAACGAGACCTCTCAAACTATTGATGCAAGTTTTATTTTGCTATAGTTAAAATGTCAGTTTATTAATTAAATTTTTTTAAACCTATTTCATGAAATCATTTATTTCCAAAAAAACTCATTTAGCAGGACTTTTTTTAAAAGTTCTTAGAAAAATAAAAAAAATTAATAATATAGTAGATAAATTAACTTTTTAGCATTAATTTCTTTATAAGTTTATATTTTTAATAAATAATTGTTATAATTATGAAATTCAAAACATAATAGCTGTTATAAACTATTTCAAATATATGTCATAATTATTTGATTCAATTATAAATTACACAGATATAGATATTATGTGTCCACGTCTAATATAATTTATAATCGAAACATGCAGATTTCGAATTAAATCATACTTGAGCTTATTTTGTTTGACTCAATTGTATAACTGTAAATTATAATTTCAAATCCTACCTCCAAACGCTTAGCCCTAATTTAGAAGATCATGTAAGGGCAATTTGGGCAATGCCATTTTTTCTTTCGTCTTTTTTTTTTCTTTTTTTGTTTTAGCTATAGTCATTTTCACATGACTAATGTTAGAGATCTTAAAAATTTTATTAAAATTTCTATCAAATATTTTATATGAGTGTGTGACTCATATAAAATCCACATAGTATGGGTCCTACATATAAGACATTTCATAAAAAATTTAGTATAATTTTTGAAAATTTCTAATATTTTTCTTTTCAAATTGTTTGCCTAACACTATAAGAGGCCATTGTGAAAAAAAACATAGTCATTACTAATGATGCTAAATCATTCCATACATCAACCAAAAACTATCATAAACCCCCCCTCCTCCCACTCTCTCTCTCTCTCTCTCTCTCTCTACATACATGTCTTTTCTTACAATTTAAGCCAAAAAAACTGTTACACAATTTATACCACTTCCAAAACCAAAACCAAAATCAAAACCAAAACCTCAAAAACCCATTACACAAAATCTGACACACCTCGTCGGAAAATGAGCTCCGTCTGCATATCAAACTGTGTCAAAGACACCAGAGTTCCCGTCAGAGCCACCTACGTCAACCTCTACAAGTGGCCGGAATCTGACGCCGAGTTCGTCCGCACGGCGGTGCGCGGCGGCGGAGGGCGGCCGGAGCAGCAGCCGAGGGTGGTGGACAGTATCTCCTGCAGGCAGCTGTACCTTAGGAGCTACACTTTCTCTAGGAAAGAGACAGTTCCGGAGAGGACTAAGAAGTGTTTGGATCGGGTCAGAGAGAGGGTGGTGGGTCGAGGGGGGAGGAGGCGGAGGAGGACGGCGGCGGAGGGTCGGCCGGTGGTTCGTAGGAAGAAATGTGCAGTGGTGAGGAGAGTGAAGGAGCTATCTTGCGCCGCCCTTTGTGCTATCTTCCACAGGCTGCTATCTTGCTCTGCTAGTGTAGATGTTGTGGGTGGACCATAGACACCAGTGAGTTGGTTAGTAGTTGTTGTTTAATAATACAACAAATGCTAGAAAGAAATTAAATATAGAATCGGATAAAAAAAAATAGATGGACGGACAAGATTTTGCAACAATGGTTGCTAGGGGCATGTCTGTTTATTTATTTATTTTGTATTTGATTTTATATTTAATTTATGTGTTATTAAACTTATTTTTAATTATATGATTTGGATAATGTTTGGAAAAGTTTATATTTATGTTTAATTAGAGAATGGAATGGGTATTGGGTATCTGTTGTTTTTATGTTTGGAGGGTTGAAAGAGGTAGGTTACAAATTGTATGTTTTGGGTCTGCAAATTTGTCTAGTTCTTATGAGTGTGTTTAGCAAAATAATGGAGTCGTCTATTTTACTATGTATATACTTGCATTTTCTTGGTTAAAGAAGTTCTATTTTCTTCATAATGCTTGTCAAAATTGATACACTAATGCTGTATTTGGTTGGGGAATTTGGAGATGGATTTAGAAAGGGAAAGGGAAAAGGTGTGTGAAACTAGGTAAAATATAGGCATATTTTATTTACATTTTACCTACCTTTTTTATTTTCCTTTCTAAATCCCTCCAAAATCTTTCAACCAAACATAACGTAACGTTTTGTTGGAAAAAAAAGAAGTAAAAACCAAGTATAGTGTCCAATAAATAAGTGTAATTGTTAAATTTTATGATCACGAACTCAAGGAAACATTATTTCCTATTTTTATTAGGCTAAGATCAATTTCAATCTTTTGGACTTTGGTTTGGGAGGTGCAAAGTCAGAAAAACTGAAAATTTTATTTGCGCTCTATAACTATGAGACGGCCATAATAAGATGATCTTTTTGTTAACAGATTTTTAATATTTGTAATCTTTGAAAAGATGATAACTAACTATGTAACATTTTTATCAAAAATTTATGTATTATATAAGATATTTTATTTAAAAAGTTAAACAGTCATTATAAATTATCATATTGTTCTTTTTATTTTTTATACATCTTTTCAAAAAATTAATTAAAATAATTAATTTTTTAAATTTGATGTATATGTTACATATTCAACGTATTGCCCCCATGGAAGGAGAGAGAAGGTACAGTGAAATAGTGGTTAGTTAGTAAGTAGTAGCGCAATTAAAGGATAGAGACATAATGATCATCTGGAAAATGCATATTCCCACCCTGTTTGACTGTTAAAACTAAAACTAAAAATAAAATTAAAAAATAAATAAATAAAGTGTTTAGGTGATTTGATATTTTCAGTGGCTCAACTAAATTGTATCTAAAGTTAAATTTCACTTTTTGACTGGCTAGCTACATATATACATGTATGCAGGAAAGCAAACCCCTTACAGAGGGTTGGATGCTTTCTGAACTGTGACAAACGTGATAAATTAAATTAATTATAATTATTAAATTGGTTTAATTTTTTTTCATGTAAATAATATAAATAAAATAAATGATTTTGAATTAACAAATATGAACCCACACAATACCCTATTAAGAAATAGGTAAATTACATTGACTATTTATGAGGTCTAAAAATATATATCTTAAGTTTTACAAGTTTGACAAAATTATATTTGACTATTTACGAAGTTTCAAATGAAGACTAAGAGGTTGTTTGGAATGTCTTAAATAAATACATTTTTTAACTTTTTAGACTAAAAAGTTGAGGAAAAAATATGGTTGTTTAGGTTAACTTTTTAACTTTTTATGAAAAAATGTGTATTAAAAAATTGTATAAATTAATGTGTAGGAAAAAATTAGAATTAAGGGTTATGTAGCCGTAATTTTTGATTTTTGGTGAATAGTAATAACTTTTTAACTTTTTGAATAATTTTTTGACTTTTTGGTCACATGTCAAACTTGACCTAAAACTGGGGACTAAGAATTTATGCTCATTTAAATTTAAGACAACACAATATATTTATATCAAACTTTGTAAAAATTTTTAATACATTTTCACTACACTCCGAAGAAAGTAAATATAATTCATTCTAAAGATTATTTTATGATTTGACTAGCAAGTGTACGATTAATTCAAAAAATAAAAATAAAAAGTTAAAATTGTTCAAAATTGATTTGTGATAGACGGCGGTGATTGCCTTAGAATCTTTGATTTAAATTTAGATCGCATGAGATATCATGGTTTGGACTTCTTTTGGCCAATTTTTTTACTACTGGACTCACCTTAGTTTAAGTTTTTAATAATAATAAACTTTTTTTGTTTGTTTTATCCAAAAACAAAAAAACAAAAAGGTGGATTCCTTTTTGTTAGCTCAGAACTTGCGGCCGGCTTCACACCGCAACCTGGTGTTTCGCCTACGGACTTGGGCATTACGGACCAACTTGCTGAGTCCGGTGCCGAATCCTCAAGGGGGGGAGGAATGGTTCCAGGCAGCTCAGACCTTGCGGCCGGCTTCACACCGCAACCTGGTGTTTCGCCTACGGACTTGGGCATTACGGACCAACTTGCTGAGTCCGGTGCCGAATCATCAAGGGGGAAAGGCATGGTTCCACATAGCTCAGAACCTGCGGTCGGCTTCACACCGCAACCTGGTGTTTCGCCTACGGACTTGGGCATTCTGAACCAACTTGCTGAGTCCGATGCCGAATCATCAAGGTGGGAAGGAATGGTTCCAGGCAGCTCAGAACCTGCGGCCAGCTTCACACCGCAACCTGGTGATTCGCCTACGGACTTGGGCATTCTGAACCAACTTGCTGAGTCCGGTGCCGAATCCTCAAGGGGAGGATTAATGGATCCAGGCAGCTCAGACCTTGCGGCCGGCTTCACACCGCAACCTGGTGATTCGCCTACGGACTTGGGCATTACGGACCAACTTGCTGAGTCTGGTGTCGAATCACCAAGGGGCACTGAATTTGAACCGGTCAACAAAAAACTTGACACCGCACAGCCGAGAAGTTGTGATCCCATTGCCCTTCGCAACTCTCAGGACCCATCTGACTGCTGGAAGCTTTTTGTGGGGGACATGTGGAAGCTTTTTGTTGATGGAGCGTCCAACCGCCATGGTGCCGGCCTAGGTATTGTTCTTATATCCCCGGACGGCCTAACCATTGAGCATTCTATCACACTCGGCTTCCCAGCGTCTAACAACGTGGCTGAGTACGAGGCGCTTCTCGCCGGGCTCAAGAGCGCAATTCAAATGAAGGCTGCCGAGCTCCTGGTATACAGTGATTCCCAGCTTGTGGTTAACCAAGTTTCGGGGATTTATGAAGCGAAGGACGATAGGATGGCGAAGTACCAAGCTCTGGTCAGGGACCATATCAAGCAGTTTGAGGCAATCAGAGTCCAACGGATTGGCCGAGAAGAAAACAGCCGGGCTGATGAACTCGCCGGCCTCGCTTCCATGGTCCATAGTACGTCTCCAAACCCCCTGCTGATTGACTTTCTTCCGCGGCCGAGCATTGAAAACCCCGGGCAGACGGATGTACTCTGCGCCGAGCTAGGTTCTTCATGGATGGACCCCTTGATCTTGTTCCTCAGAGACCGGACTCTTCCACAAGCATTGAACTCGCCGGGCAGACAGATGTACTCTGCGCCGCACTCGGTTCCTCTTGGATGGACCCCTTGATCTCGTTCCTCAGAGATCGGACTCTTCCAACTGACAAGAAAGAAGCACACAAAATCCGGGTGAAGTCAGAGCGGTTTTGGCTCTCTTCATCCGGCGCGTTATATAAGAAGTCCTTCACTGGTCCTTATTTAAAGTGCGTGCACCCGAATAGTGTGGAGGCCTTCTTGTACGAAATTCATGAAGGCATTTGTGGAAGCCACATAGGAGGCAGGTCCTTGGCCTACCGTGCTATTTCGCAGGGATACTGGTGGCCGTGCATGCAGGCCGACGCTAAAAAATATGTCCGCAAGTGCGAAAAATGCCAGAAATTCGCCCATCAGATCCACCAGCCTGCCAGGGAACTTCTTCCCCTCACCAGTCCTTGGCCCTTCGCCATGTAGGGGCTAGATATAGTGGGACCACTGCCAACAGCACCGGGCAACCAGAAATTCTTCATCGCGACCACAGATTACTTCACAAAGTGGGTTAAAGCTGAGCCCTTGGCAACCATCAAAGAGAAAGACGTGAAGCGATTTGTCTGGCAGAACGTGGTCACGCGGTTTGGCGTCCCAAAGATTTTGATCTCTGACAACGGCACCCAGTTTGGCGGTCGCCAATTCAGAGGATTTTGTGAAGATTTGAAGATAGAATTCTACAACTCCACCCCGGCTTACCCGCAGTCCAATGGTCAAGCCGAAGCATCAAACAAGACTATACTAGATGGGTTGAAGAAACGGCTGGAAAAGGCCAAGGGAAAATGGGCTGAGGAATTTACTAGCGCCTTTGGGCATTACAGAACAATAAACCCGCTACGTTCCATCCGGGGAAACTCTATTTGCTTTTGGCTGTACGGCATGGGGCGTTTATACCCTTGGAGTTGAAATGCCCACCCTCAGTAAGCGAGAGTTTTGAGCCCGAGCTAAATGCCGAGGCTATTGCCTTGGAGCTGGACCTAGTGGACGAGCGTCGGGAGAAGGCCCTCATCCATGTGGCCGCCTACCAACAGGAGCTCTCAAAGAAGTATAACAAGACGGTGCACCCCAGACTGTTCAAAGTTGGTGATTGGGTTTTGAGGAAGATTATGGGCAACACCCTGGTGCCAGGAGAAGGCAAACTAGGGGCAAATTGGGAAGGACCCTACCAGATCACTGGTCTGGCGGGCAAGGGGGCTTACCACTTGGAGGATTTAGAGGGAAGAGAAATACCCCGGCCATGGAATGCGGCCAACTTGAAACTGTATTATTTTTAAGCTTCTGCTTTCTTTTATTGTGCAAAGAAATTTTTTGGCTTGCACCACAGCATGTAATTCTTTTTGTCAATTTATAGAAGTAATCTTGCTTTAGCACTTGGACTGTTGTTTTAATGTTACGAACCGAGATGATGTACTCCGGTTGGAAGAGTTGGTGTCTTGTCCAACTTAGGATTCCCAACCGAGGTACTCCGGGTGGAAGAGTTGGTGTCTTGTCCAACTTCGCATCCCCAACCGAGATGATGTACTCCGGTTGGAAGAGTTGGTGTCTTGTCCAACTTAGGATTCCCAACCGAGGTACTCCGGTTGGAAGAGTTGGTGTCTTGTCCAACTTCGCATTCCCAACCGAGATGATGTACTCCTGTTGGAAGAGTTGGTGTCTTGTCCAACTTAGGATTTCCAACCGAGATGATGTACTCCGGTCGGAAGAGTTGGTGTTTTGGCCAACTTTGGATTCCCAACCGAGATGATCTAATCCGGTTGGAAGTGTTGATTTGTTCAACTTTGTTACAACCGAGATGGTTATTTCGGTTCATGAATTTGTTTTGTTATGCTGAAGTGCTTC